GATTTTAGCTGCCATGAGAAGATGCAGGCTAGACATTTAGGATAAACTTTCCCACTGGTACAGAACAAGGATGGAGGGGTAGGAGCCTCTTAGGCCAAGTCTAAGTCTGTTGGGAACAATATAGGTAGAGCAGATCTAGCTGTGAGCCAAGGAAGCTCCTCCAGTCACAGCCAGCTCTGAATTTCTGAGACCATTTCTCTAATTTCAAAGGACCACCATGCCCTCTTCTCTTCTCATAAACACCCGCCTGCAAGGTGGTCAGTAAGTTCAAGGAGAATTTTTCAGAGAAGACACTCAGCACGCTTCTCTAAGCCTATAGGGAAAACACAGAGGACCTGTACCAGTAGCTCTAGAGAGGGCCAATGTCTGGTAAAGGGAGAATCTTCTACACACCTCAGTACTACATATATATCTGTACTACATATACATATATACAGAATATTCTACATTAGTACTACTATAATAAAAACTTACAAGGTCCAGCCATTTGAGTTAAGAGACCATGTGTACTGTGAACATTCAGAGTTGAAACACAAACGTGGTCATGAGTTGACACAATATAAATATTATTTTTTTTTTTAGGCACCACTGAGTGAAATACCACTCGGAAATTACTTTTACAGTCACAGGATCACATGCATTACTAAGTAAATGGTACACTTTTTTTTATTCAAGTAATCCGTCACATCCTGAAAGGAGCAGTCTGTAGCTATTTCTGGTGCAAACAGCAGCTACAAGAGCTGAGTACATTGGAAGAGGTTGGGACAATTTATACAGATCCCTAGCTGTACTGAAGTTTACCCTTTTAGGACAAGCCTTCTTTATCAGCAGACAGACAAGAGAACAAGAGCTGATTAGTCTGCATTTTTCAGCTACAAAGCACCACTTGTGCTGGCAAACATTTTAAGCACAAGAAAGAAATATGTACATTCAAATTACACTTCCAAGGAAGAGATTACCACCTGGTTATGCCATTTTTGACACTTTCAACTCTGACTGGGTCTGAGGCATTTGTGTTTGAGTGCCTAAACTACTCCTGAAGGACTGACACAGGATTAAAAATACCTACCACAACTGTATTAAGCAACCTTTCAAAACATTCCCTGGGCCACACGTGTCAGAACCGGACACAGAAAATGTTACTGTCTTTAAGAAGCTTCAGATGCTCAATGGTAGAGGAGACTGGCACTGGATTGTTGCCTTTTACATCACTACACAAGTGTAACATGCAAAATTTGATTTCATATCACCCAGCAGTGTTCCTTGGCTTTCAGACTGCCGTCACAAAGCAGCACAGGCAAATCCTGTATGAAGCATACAGGCAATTCCTATGTGAAGCAAATACAACCTGATTTTTGAGACTGAGTGTTAACAATGAATCCTCCTCACTCCCTGCTGCACTGCTGAAAGCTACCAGCTCAGTAAGGGAGGCAGAAACAGCACTCCTGTGCTTAGGAAGAGGCAGAGCACCTGCAGTTTTAGACCAGACCCTGAGCTTTTGTCATGGGAAGAAACAGGCTCCTCATCCCGTGCAGTCTCTTAATGTGAGGCCTGAGAGCTGCCACAGCAGTGCTAAACAAACACTTACAAAAACAACATGGGAATGCACGGATGTGTTGAAACTGTGCTTTCATGTTACTAATTTTATGTGTGTGCCTTGGGATGACAACACCCAGCACACAAAGCACAAGTACATTCTCTGGACAAAAGTATCCTGATAGAAAAAGCACTTTGTGACTCTTCCAGGAAAGATGAAATCCTCTTCTGCCTAGCCACTGTGGTGCTGGTCCTACAAAACCAGAAGGTATCCCTCCCTGAAGTTTTTCTGTTGCAGTTCAGAGAAAATTTTGTCCTGCATTGCTTACCACATCTTTGTTGGTCAATGCCTTGGGGTCATCAATGTTGTTTCTCAGCAGGTGACAGGCAGAAAGCATCTTTTCACTTAGTTCATATCTGAGGGAGACAGCAGAACACATGGCACATCTCACTTTCAGTGTAGAGGCATTTACCTTTCTGAAAACCTTGTTGCAATAAATGTTTCCAGGCAAGCCACCAGCTGATGCAATGCAGAAACCACCCTGATAGCTCTTCTCTGCAGGGACTCCCTCCACAGTAAGTGGAGCTGCTGGCGGGGCCGTGGACCTCCGTGAGGAGGAAAAATGTGTTTCCCAGATGTACGCAGGGGGAGCAGCGGGAACGGAGAGCTGGCGACGCATCACTTCCGTGCTTTAGACTTGGCAATCCTTCTAGTGGAAATTCTCACCTACTGCTGTTTGAGTGCAGAGCATGTATTATATACTCTGTGCTTTGATCACTTGATTAACAAGAGGAAATGCTGATAGTTGTGATAGAAATGGAATTAACTGGTGGGAAAGGGCACAGGTGGTGCCCCCCTGCCAGTTTCCATTCACTGGAACCAGCCTTCCTCATCCCATCCACTTTGGAAATTTATTCTCTTTCTCTGTTCCCCCTTCATGTTTTCCCTTCTGCCCCCGTTCTACCACAAGTTTCAAAACTCAGAGAACAGCTGAAAACAAGAAGGCCCATTCCTGTGTCAAATGGCACGTCAGTCTGTGGCCAACCACCTCTGCCTACAACCAGCCACAGAAGATAATGGCAATTTTCCTAGAAAATTCTCCCAAACATCAGAGAAGCTAACTCACGTGTGTAAGGCAGGTATTTTAGCCCTCTAGGATTATAAGCCAGGTGTTGGTGCTTCCAGAGCAGTGAAATGCTCCATCACTGCACGGACCATGCTCAGCCCCATGTGGCCATGCATCCTGCCTCTTTCCCTTGAAGGGCACTGCCAGGGCAGCTAGCTTGCAAAGAACATGCTCCTCAAGTACACACGGCTATCTAAACTGTCCTGCTTCTCCTCTTCAAAATCACCTTTAGCTAGGGTAAATATAGAGATGTCCTTTGAGAAATTGGCCATCTTTCTATGCCACCTGCAAAATAACAGGCCATCCTACAGTACTGTGTAAATCAAGTTCAGGTCTCTTCAAAACTCACAGCTCCAAGGCCTATGAATAGCTTTTCATTTTGCATTTCTACATCTCCTTTCTTTAGCAGTTGGTAATTACACAAAGTTTGATGCTAAGCTGTATCTCCAGTGAAACATGACATAATAATTTTGTGTTATCTCTTTTACTTTCATTATTCCACTTACCTAATTTTCTAAGGTAGAATACTTGTAAACATCTGGCAAACACAGTTTCTATAAAATATCCCTTCACTGTCTAAGTTTATATTTCCTTTTGTCCATTTACTATTCAAGAATCAGTAAAAACTCACCATGCTGCTGCCTTCTGGGTGCCAAAAAAAAAAACCCCAAACCTTTGTCTGTCAAATGGTACCTTACACAGCTCATTACCAGCAATCTGAAAAGTAACTTAGACATGACATGCTGAACAAGTGCCTGATGTCAGCCTTAAAGTATAACTCATATGAAGTATATGATCTCAGGGTTGGATGACTTCTTCGCTGCTGTACCCCATCATCTTACTGAGCAGTACCAGCCCCAACTGAGATGCTGTGGAAGGTACAAACATAAGATGGGCTCCCAGCAGGCCATGGACCTGGTGTGCATGGTTCAAGACTCATTTGCTTGCCTGCTTACTGTTTTACAGACCAGGCTGTTAACAAGGCATTGTCTGTTCCCAAACAAGTGCTGTTTATGACCTGCAAGAGCCTCTGCCAGAGGAAAGCCACCGGGGTCTCGCTATAAATGGACCATTTCAAGCTGCTGGGGTCAGCTGCTGGGAAGAACACACTCTGACACGTTCTCCCTGCTCACACATCGTTGTTTTGGCACAAAACTGCCTCTGGTAACGTCCTCGAGGAGAAGGAGGGAAGCAAGCAGCAGTCAAGCAGCAATGGGGCTGGCACTTTTTCCATCAGCATGGGCACAGCCCGTGGCTCTCTCCATGAAGCAAGGTGGTGGTAAGCCTCTCAGGGTACCTCAGGAGAGGGTAAGCAGCCTACCTCTCTCTGATTTCCACCTCTTCGGCCTCGCACTCTGGCTGGGTGCTGTCCTTCTCTGCCCCCATAGTGCAGACCTCTGGAGCACAGGGCGTGGGCTGCCCCTCCTCTGTGTGCCGGCCACGGGGGTACTCATGGCCCTCGCACTCCTCCTCCGAATCTGAGGAGGAGCTCTCCTCAGAGCTGGATTCGTCACTGGACGTCGTCTCGTACCTGGGTGGGGAGAATGGGCAGGGGTGTTTGCTCAGTGCCATTCAGCAGCAGTCGATACCTGCCTGCGCTGCTGCAAGTTGAAAAATGTCTTGCAAAGGCTTAGTCCTATTTTCTGCTCACTGAACTCACTGTCACTGTCCACTGACACTGTGGTTATTATGTGCACAGTGTGTTATGAAAGAAGATCAAACTTTTTAAATCATAAGTCTTAACACTGTCAGGCCTTGCCTTAGCACCAAAATGAAATTACTTTGTTCACATTAAATTGTGTTGTTGCCTTACTGGGCAGGTATAAGCAGGGAAGCTAGCAAACCTATCTAAAGGCAACAGCTGCCACTTTAATATTTTTTCCTATGTCAATCCAAAACACTTTGATATTTTAGGTGAAATGTAAGTGATTTGAACAATTACAATGCTGATTCTATTGAGTTGTCTTATCTCACCATCCTCAGCAGCTGATGAATTAATGTACTAAACCTATTCTTCTAATATACAACAGTGATTTGTGAGTGATAACATTCCCACACTATAAATAATGCTTCTCTTAGCCAATATGTATGAAATGAAGTAACTGTGATATTTAGACTACATACAAGCAGCATGTGTACTAAAGAAAAACTAATCTCATGAAAGGGCTAGAAAAGCTATATAAAAACAACTTGGTGAAACTATTTTTAAGTTCTTTGCAACATGCTGCAAGGGTAAGTAATATTTTAAACTAAGATAATTTTCCATACTGTTTGTTTGTATTTCTGTAGCAAACCATCTGTATTTATCTACTGGAAAGTCAGAAAAGTTAATTCTTAGGCAATGCCATCTCTTGCTGTATTGTTCAACAGCACAATGCTGCGCTTGCCAGCTGCCAAAGACATATTTAAGTTTTCTTTACTGAAATACTGCCTGAGAAATGTTCCCATGGCTCTTTGAGTTTGTTTCATTTTTCCATGTTAAATTTGGTAGCAATCTAATCTACAGGTACTTGAGACAGATGCCACATATGATTTGTGAGCACAAAAGGTTCACAAAGGATTAAGATGAGCTCAGCTGTTCTGGTCTTCCCTCCAACCCTTAAACTCAGTAGATGCACCTCAGCCTGAAAGACCGGACAAAGGTATGTATGCATACAGTCCTGGGTTCCTCCCTTCCCTCCCACTGTGAAAGTGCTACAATGACAGATTTTCTGGGGAGAGGTCTCTTACCCGCCATTAATGCCAACAAACTGCAGGTTCTTCTTGGTGTTGCCCAAATCCTTCTTCCCATCCCTTTTCTTCATGATAGATTTGAGTGTGTTTTCATTATTAGTACATACTGGTGAAAAGGGAGACAAAGCACATGTATCAGTACAATTCTGTAGCTGGCTTTGACTGCAACAGCTTTAGACAATTTTTCAAAACAAACAGCTTTCTGTTTAACTACCAAGTGAAGCTGGGCTTTCTAATCTTTTTATACACACAGTCATGGTATGAGATGCACACTGGAAATATACAAGAACATTTTGAAAAACAACTCAGGAAACATAAAACTAGTTTAGCCTAACTTTCCCATCTTCCAACATGCTGCTAATCTTTACGATGCTTTAGAAAACTAAAGAAAGAACATAGGACATGTTTTGGGTTTTTTTCAATTTGCTATTTGTGAAAAACTTCTAACACTGAAATGGGTTACTCTGCTCTGTTAAGAAAAACTTCATTCTTGGTGTCCGGTGACAGCAGCTCATTGCCAGAACTAATGCATTAGTACAGACAGCACATTTAATAATAACCTATTGAACAGTGTGGGGAAGTTCAATCAAGGCTGGTGTTTTAGATTATAGTAATCACTGAAACAAATTTTAAACCAACCTCTAAGCAAAAGACAGGTAAAACATTCTTACAAATTTGTTTGGTGGGTTTGTTTCTTAAAAAAAAAAAAAAACCAAACAACACTTTCTCTCTCAGTACATTTTTTTTTATGAAGACACTAAATGGCATTTCATTGCTATTCTACAATCTGCCACTTAAAAACCTAACCTCTCTCTGCAGACTAAGGGTCTCACACTCTGACTTTCCCTGCAGCGGCATCTCTCCCTGATTTTGCAATTTTGAGAACCCTGAAAATCTCCTCTATCTGTATTTCGTATTCAAACTCCACCAACACGATGAAAGGTGAATGTGAGCCAGTAATTACCATAGAGGCCAGAGGCAAGCTGGTCATCTGTCAGGTTAATTGGAGTGAGAGTTTTGTCCTGAGAAGAAAAGGACTTCCTTCCCCGAACAGCTTCCACCAGGGGAGTCTTCCTCTCCTCCTGAGCAGGTACAGTGTCCTGCTCCAATTTCACTGTTCGCAAATTTGAAGTTAAGTGGGTGTTTGCAAGTTGGCCGTGAGGGATGTACTCCAAAGTAGCACCTGCCAGAGAAGACAGTAGGCATCACGGAGGAGTCAGACCAAAACACTTCCGTCAACACTGTGATCAACTGGGGGGAAAAAGAAAAACTGGAAAAAAAAAAAAAGGGCAACACTTATGCTTTACAATACTCTTTTCCAAGGATCCAATAGGAAAAGGGTGTGATTGCTTTCAGAAAAAAAAAAAAAAAAAAAGCTGTGAGTTTTTCTTTCCATGAAAGCATATAATACAAGGAAAATCCGTAAAGATATTTGCTTTAGAACAGAACAAAGAAATGGTCCTTCTTTTTCCTTCTCTTTCAGTAGGTGCAGTGACCCCAGCTCCTTGCACCCTGGCTCAGGGTGGATGTGCTGAGCTGCTCCTCGCTGACATACCTGAAGAGCACATTCACAGGCTCTGCACGTTCCTTCTGCAAGAGCAGAGCCCTTTTTATCTTTTCTTTAAGAAACACCATTTTCCATGAAAGCAGAAACTTTCAGGAAACTTTCCTTTTTGCCAGCATTCCACTAATTCTGAAAGTTATATACTTTACCCAGTTACTGAGACAACCGCAATAAACTCCCACACACTGCACTTCTAATTTTTTTTTTTTTGACAGGATTGTACTGAGCTAATAGTTGTATTAAAATAAAATTCCAAATGTTTGGCTTATACTTTTTTTATTTTTTCCCTGATTTGCTGGCATCCACTCATTTTTTCCCTTTGTGTATTTAAAAAAGAGAGCGCTAATTACGTACAGACTTTTACAGATTCCCCTGGAGTTCCTCCAGCTGTGCTATTACAACTACTCTACAAAGCTGCACAAAAGCTTTTGTTTGTGGAACACACTGTTTTTTTATACACATGTTTTTCCTTAAGTGATCTTGCTAGCATTTCAAGGGAAAAAAAAAAAAAGATAATGTTTAAATTTAAACACTGTCACTTCTTTCTTTCAAAGCTTGCTTCAATCACTTCTGCCTCCATAGTTTATTTACCTTTGTATTTATCAGGAATTAAGCTACAGCCTCCTCATTCAAATAGATCAGTGGCACTGCACAGGATACTAACATACTGCATAAAGGTAAATTCCAAATATTCACTTTTAGAAATACATCTGACATCTTTATTGCTCTGGCTAGGCTGCCTCTCCCCCTTTTCGCTTCACCTCAGTACTTTTATTTTCCTATAACAGGACATAATGAAGCTGTTTTTTCCAAACGCTGTCACTTCCCAGCAGCTTCCTCCTCTTTGCTCCCGTTCCCACCCAAGCCTCTGAGTTCCCAACCCAGGCTCATCCCATGTACATTTCCAAGGCACCTTCTCCAGCAACAAGACCTTCTGCCCACTTCCACCACTGGTTATACCTTCTCCAAGCTACAGTGGGAAGCTGCCCGCTGGGAAAGGCACATGGCAGGGTACTGGCAGACACATCACTACAGGCATAGCCAAAAAGCTTCTGCCCTCTCAGGGAAGCTGGCAGTGAAGGCAGCAGCCACCCCAGTGCCTTCCATGAAGGAGCAACCCTTCTAAAGACGTATCTGCGCACTGAGGACTAAAAGGGCACCCGTGGAAATCAAGAAGGAAGCCCTGCCCTCTCACTCCTCCACCTCTCCTCGCTTCACAGTGGTGACTGACTTCAGCTGGGTCTCTTCCCAACAGCAAGCACCATCCCTCATCCGCCAGCTGAGGAGAAGAGGGCTGCCAAGGCAATGGAGCACGGAGCCAAAAATAATGATTTTTAAACTGCCTTAGCTGAAAAACAAGGGAACCGCCTCTCCCTTTGCTAGTTTAGAGCAGTGACTGATACAGTTGAAGAGTACCAGAGTAACTTCCCGATGCAGCTGGTGGTGGCTGCCTGGGCTGGTTTTAGCTGGTCACCCCTTCTGCTCCAGCCTCGCCACCGAGGACACGGGCAGGGAGTGGAGGGAACCTGCTCTAAAAGCAGCAGAGATATGCAAAGCCTCCAAAGCTGCCCCAGTTTACTGTCAGCTGAAGTCTCTCTGCCAGGTGTCACAGTCCTCCGAAGCCAGCTGTGACAACCACAGTGTGTCCTGGGGACACAGGTGGGCTTGTGCATGCTGGAGCTGAGGGCAGACGGCAGGACTCAGGCAGGGGTCCTGTCTAACATGAACTGACAGCAGCTCAATGCGCCCTGTCATCCCCCCTCAGCAATGCTCAGTCCCCCCAAAGCCAGAGTCTGAACTTCCTCAGATGTCTCCCTTCTGCCCTGGGATGCAGCTGGGGAGGGAGCTGCAGGGAAGGAAATGGTAGGAGACTTTTCTCCCCTGTCTCTCTCCTAGCTAAATCTGCCACTGATCCAACATGGTCTCAGTAGCTTCTCTCCTTCTGGTTCATCCCTCAGTGGCTGAGAAGCACCACTCCAATCTGTGGCATGTTGCCCCCAGAACCTAACAAAAGAGGATGACATCAAGGCTCGAGGACAAACAAACAACAGGTATGTGTGCGTTTGACAAACTGGCCAGTACACTCATTCTCCCACCACAGCTCTTACATGCCTACACTTACTGTGTCTACAGTGCCCCAAGGTTCAAGCAAAGACAGCTTTGGGCCCAACACAGCATTAACGCTGCAAGCCATTAATCGGCTCTCAGGACTCCCCCTCTACAACACAGCCAACATAAAGATGCTTGGAGAGCAGCAAGCTAGTGCAGATGACTTGGAAAAATGATGAAGGAAGCAGCTGTGCTACCCAACACTATGGTCAGTGATTTAACAGATTAATCAACTGCTGCCCAAACCAAAAAGCTGAATAAGCTGAGTTCCCCTTGCCTCCAACAAGGCTGCAGGGTCGCTGTCAGGGCGGGAGATGCCACACGCTTCTCAAGTATGGAAATGAAACCCTGGCTGAAGATCACCACCGGTCCGCACAGACCTTAAAATAGACTCTTCATCTCACCTCACGCAGATCTCAAGTATGCTCTTGCACAGAATCCTTCCAGTGACACCGGGTCACAGTGCGCAACACTGACAGTTAATCAGCCAACAGGTTCAACACTTAGCGAGCCATTGCCTCCAGACACAGCCACACGGGTGGACTCACCCCAATTTTTGTTAGTTTATTATTGTGGGCAAATAATGCAAACTTAACGTAAATTTCTAAGTATTGATATAGTGTAGCTAATCCTGGCATGCAGCTGTCAGAAATTTCCAAACGTATTTTGCAAGATAGTAGGGGATCTTGGAAAAGTTCACAAGTAATTTATAAGCAGGAGTGTGATAAGACAAAACAAAAAACTTACAGACATCAACTGTTCATAAACCCTTATGCAGAAACCTACTCTCATCAATTTCAGAGGGAAAGAAGTGACTGAAGCATCTCCAGTGGTGAAGCCCGGTTGGTTTGAGGGAATGAGAGCACCTGTTTTTAATTTTTCAGAAGGAACCTCCTCTCCTAAATCACTTATGCTTCATTTGAAAATCTCACCAATTTAAACCAGGGTGACAGCAAAACTCCTATACATCAGCAGCAGACTACCCATTTCTGGCACCTATAAAATACATTTATTGTTATTAAGATGCTATTTCCCTACCTAACTGCAGACTTTCCCTCCCATTTATGACAGTATGAGTAGTCATGTAGCAAGCTGGTTCAGGGAACTCACTGGGTGAGTTTTTAAACAGTATTCTTTTCCCCCTGCGTTTGTGATGAGCTCATGGTAACAGAAGTCTGGCCTTTACCTGCTTTTGAAAAATTCCATTTAGTCTGATGGAAGCAAACCTAAGTATTACTATAAAAGCAATTTAGCTTGACAATACTTTTACCACTGGAAATCAAGAGAAGTGCATACAGGGCCAGAGGAATTAAATACCATCAGGATGAGAACCTAGTTCTCTGGCTGGAACATCACAGGCTTCTAGCTAAAAAAAGGCATGAGCTTGCAGCCTACGTGGTAGCTGCACAGAGATATTATTTTTAACCTGTTGATCAGTGCAAGCATTTTTTGCACAACATGTTTGTAACAGCCAATGATACAACTTATACACTTACTATTAAAGACAGTGCATAAATAAATGTTGTCTGGTACACGTAAAGCAAGGAAATACTTCTCTTTCGCTCTGCGTAATTTATTCACAGTAGCAATAACCCCCCTATGAAATTACTGTAACTAAAGAACACAAAGTCTTCTCCAGTGGTCTTAAATCTTATTAAGTTGTTTTATCCTTAAAAACTTATTTTTTCATATAAATAATTTTTAATCCACTTTCCACTTGGTATGCACATCAGAACTATTGAAGAAAAAAACAGCATTCTAAGGTAAATAAAAGGGCAGTGATGAGCAAACATGTTACGTTTAAACATTTATAATGATTGGTATTAACCCATCCACCTGATAAATGTATTACCTTGAGAAGACTAAGCATAGCTTCATTTTAAAAGGTACTTTTATTGTATGTTAAAGTCAGTGAATTTAAAATTTCACAATAAAAATTGCCACACATTAACTTTTAAATGATAAACCACCAGAAGCCGGATTCATTTGGGGCCCAGGTGTAGGTAAATGTTGCAACTACCATTCAGCTCCAGGGAAAATACTCCTTCTGACAGGGTGGCTCCTTTAATAGGAGCAAAAGCAATCCTAATTTAATTTTCACTCTCACTTTAACCATTTTGTGTTGAGAAGCTGCTTTCCATCCTCAAACTAGCTTGTGAAGCCAGTTTGTTGAAACTGGAAATCAAATCCGATTCCTTTAATTGAACAAGACAGAAGATAAAAAATTACATGTCTGTGAAGCAGGTTATCATCTTATTTATGAAATGCCCTCTTTTCCAAGACAACTGTGTGTGAAGCTCAGTGAAAGCCATGCTTAATTTCCCTGATGAGTGGTGGATCAAAGCATCTCATGATGCTGGGCACAGCAGGAAGGTCACGTCAGAGCTTTTCTTTCTTTTTCATTTATGAGCAGCTGATCTTCTCAGCTGATGCTTTATTGTTGCTGAAATATGACAACACTTCCTCAGAAAAACGGGAATCTCCTGCCATTAAATATTAATAAATCTTCCTGCTATCATGGGAGTTGAACTGAATAAAGCTCAGTGCCTGAACATCGTGTCCCTGTGCCACAGTGTGGGGAAAGAACTGGGGTTTTACCAAAGTCGCTCTAACAGACAGGCTAGCAGGCTGGAGCTTGCCACTCTCTAAGCAGCAATAGATTTGAAAGAAAAAATATATATATACTGTGGCAAATTATACTCTTACTTAAGTGAAGCAGAAATGAAGAGACAGAGCAGCTGTCAGATTCAAACACTCCATGTAGTGCTCACAGAATGAAAACAGCAAATACTCTAATAACAATAATAGTAATAAGCTTATGTTAACAAATGACCCAAGAAGGTACATCAAAGCTCTTTAAAGAGGTTTATGGAGTTTCACTTAAATGATGTCTTTATAGGACAATTACTAACCAGGTCTCTGCTTCAGTTCTGATATAACTGGATGGGTATTTAAAACAGAAAAAAACCCTGCTAAATGCCTCAGCTCCTAATATTGATGTGCTACCATTCTCGAACAACACAGGCATTTGAGGTTTATGTTGCCACAACTAGCAGGTCAATAGATACCACCTGCCATATGAAAAATGCAGAGAAGGCACTGTATTATTTGAGATGCCAGACAGACACACGCGAATAAACAGTATTCATCTGGCACACAGATGGGACCATCTACATGGCCGTTTCGCACCATGCACTACCTTCCAGGGAATATGAAAAACGCTTCAGGTATGTCAGTCACCCTCTCCCGGGCAGAGAGATCGATGGATCCTGTCTGTTACACAAACAACCACACCTGCATAGAAACTTAACTCGGTGGTTAAAGCCTGCATCTGTGGCAGAGCTGAAGCTGAGGGCTTCATTCACTTGCCTACACACAGGCAACCAGTGCAATTTGTAGCAGCCCACAGCTTTGCAGGGTCCAACGACGTGCCTATGCCTCAAACAGCTGCTGAGCCTCAGGCAAGCTTCAAGTCTTCAACTGCACTAGCGTGGTCCATGCTGCCAGGAGGGGGGCTACCAACCCATGAAGCTATACAGTCTTTGAGGGAAAAGGCTACAAACTTTGTTAGATAGAAGAGCTATAAAGAGAAAACAGCTTTCTCCAATTTCCTGCTGGTTTTGTATTGTGAATGACAACACAGAGACAGAGACAACCATAGCCACAATACCTCATTAGTCCTACACACTTGGACAACCAGGGGCTTCTCACACCACCATCATTCCTTCGGTCTTTCTATCATCCCTCAGCCTGCCTCCCCACCTCTGGGCAAAAGTGAGAGTTGAAAACCTTGAAAGATCTTTCCACCACATGAAGCCATCACACATGAAGTTTTCCTAGCCCCCAAGACTTTCTGACACCACTTACTTCCCCCTTCCTTGCACTCCCTCAAGTCTTAATTCAAGAAGTTGCCTCCTTTCTCATGTTGATTAGTGTAATTCTTCTACTGGGGTGCTCAGTCAGGATCGCTCCGAAGAGTGACTGTAAAACCAACACTACCAAAGATAACCATGCATTTTCAGGTCAAATATGCTCAGGTAACTTTTCAGGGCAACAGCAGAACAGTTGCTTTTAAATACCACTTTTGAAAACTCTTTGCCTGTGAAAGACACCCTTCCACAAAACTTGTGAAAAGCCCCTGTGATTAAACCCCCTGCAAATGACATTAGACCTCTGGCTGATACTTTGCAAAATTCATCATGTGAGCACTCAAATGTAATTTTCTGAAACTTCTCAAAAATTCTGACAATAAACAGAGAATCTGAACGTGCTTGCCTCCCTTGGTCCTCCTGTATGCTGCCTGGTGTAAGAGTAAGGATCAGTTAGCATCTAGGTTTGTCACCCACATCGATATGATCCAGCTGGCACATACAGGGTGCCAATGCTGGCAAACCTGACTTTGAGGAGTGGAAATTGGCTTGTCTGGCCAGTGGGTCTGATCTCCCTGACGTCACTAGGGCTTCCAAAAGACACTGCATATGTAAATAGGAGTTGCTTAGTTACGGAAGTGAAGGCGTTTACTTTGCGACAAGCAATATACTAATTGCCAGCAGACCCGGTTCAGAGGTCATCTCAGAGGTCCGTCCGGCTTGCATCTCAGGATGCCAGCTGCAGCGCCAGCCCACGGTCCTGTGCAGCTGGCTCCAGCCCCCACGCCTGCATCTCCATCGCCTGCCACAAACGGCGTCAGGGACCGTGAGATGGCAGATGCCCCTGCAGCATGTCCCCTTCTCCCCAGCATCAGCAGGGAGAAAATAATCTCTAAAGCTGAGAATTTGACTGATGTGCTACCTCGGGTGTCAGAAGCAGTATGGACCACTAACCCTTTAACATGGCATTAACATTTAACTTTTTACCCAAAAAGTACCTGGCCTCTAAGAGGTGCTTCCTGTGGATGTTTTTTTGAATAAAAAATTGAAGTCGACACTTCTGCCTCTATTTTCAGCCTGTTTTCCCACGAAACTGAGGCTTACATAGTCATGCTTCTTTAGTAACTTAAACCTGATTGCTCATTTTAACCAAACTGGACTAGAGACTCACTGCTCTGAAGGATTTTTGTATTTATACAAGCTTTAGAGAAATCAGACTGAGATGCCAGGCCTCCAGAAAGGGATGCTGGTTGAGTTCACACACAAGACACCTGAAAAGCTACATGCAAGAGACCTAAATGTGAGAAAAGACTTATTAAGAGCTCACAAGCTATCATGAGATACTGATGCATGGGGGAAAAAAAAAAAAAAAAAAAGTCTTTATTAGTTCCAGTGCTTACAGAATTATTTAAGTTGGTGATTCATTCAGCAAAAATCCTTCTACAGAAAAAAGTAATACATGATCTGTAAAACCACAGGAACAGGCAGCAGGACTAGCAGATAAATGTAGTGGAGACAATGTTTTCAAAATTAATTGAAAGAGAAGGGGAAACATTTCAGGCTTATGACCTCCTTCCCACTCCAATTCTCCATGGGTCTAAACTCTTATAGCCCAGAGCTTGATTTATGCATGCGGTCCTGGCATGTAGTTCTCATCAGGGACTAAAAATAAAGAGATTTTACACTCAGCATCCACAGCTAAAGATAATGGCATTACAAGCTAAAATAAAATTATTACAGAATAATTTTATCAAGAATGTGAAATCTGAACCCGAGTAAGAGCATCTTCAGTAAAATACGATCCACTGCTCCACCTGTGTCGAAATACTTTCAAGTCTCTAGACCACACATTTGATATTGTGCAGTAAAAGCAGGGAAAGGAGTTAAGGATTTACAGCTAGTAAAAATTTTGGTTCACTGTTTTTAACGACACTTCTGGTGTCTGCTGGATACCCTTATTATTATAGCACCATTACTTGTAAGAAGTCCAAAATATAAAGTCCATACCAGAAAGATAATAATATTGCATATATAGTATCATAGTGCATGCAAGCAGACAGGATATCATATGTTTTCTTTACCGCTACATAAATGTTGCTTATTGCTTTACTATGGGAAGCTAAAATTTTTACTTCAGCTCATTTAATGGATGGTTCCACTTAGCGCATGAACACTGAGGAGAAAGAGATTTACCAAGTCACCTTTTAACAAAAATAGGCAAATTTTAAGACAGTAAATAAGCTGCAAGAGCTTTATATAGCAGTGCATTAGTCAATAATATTATGCTAGCATTAAATGGTATTTACTCAGGATTTTTTTTCCAATTCAGCACCCACTATACAGATGAATTTGCACAAGTTTCTCCGATTTCCTTAACCTTGTTTCAGTCACTGTATAGCAGGACCAAGAAGACGGTATCTAACAACCACTGCTTGGCATTGCATATTGGTTTCCAGTAAGCCAATGTTTATAAATTTAACAGCAATGTGTTTGGATTCACCAATAAGATATTAGAAAAAATAGCTAAGTTTTAAAGCAGACTAGCAGACTAATATTAATAATATAATAATACTAAGAAGAAGAACTAGTAAGTAACTTTACCCCAGGGAATAAAGAAATCCCTCAAATTAATTGTATAAGTTTTAAAGTTAATAAATAAAATGCAGCGAGTATTTAAATCTCAATT